CACTTTAACATGTATACAAAAATTCCTGTAAATGCTGCTGATAAATTTCTAACTGCTAATGAAATCTATATTAATGCAGTTCATGAAATATATAGTTTTTGTTTCGAACATAACCTAGTACTTCTTTGGGCCTATTTATAGCCTGCATGGTATAAAATCACGAGATGGACCCTCTGGGCTAGATCAGCACATCCAACTATTCCATTAAGTAAGACAAATATGATTATCAAATCACATTGGAGAGTTGTGAAGCATTGCTATCTATATAGATTCAACAGACCCCGGTTAGATTATGTTGTGTGGATTATTTGCACACACCTTCTTTCTGACCAACTCATCCGTTTTACTCAAATACGCCAAGGACAAATAATTTCATCTTGGTTTAATGATTTTAAAAAGGATTAGATGCAATATGTAATAAAAAAAATTGATGATAATAATGATACCCGTCATTTTATTGATTTGGCACATTGGGTATGTAGCTGTTCCTCATTTCTATACTCTCATTTTCTTATCTGCAAACACTTGGTATAATGTGCAATCGAAGAGGCAGTATTACTTGATTCTCAAGGTATTAGATTGGTGTATGGAAATTTCAAAAAACAGAAAGACTACCTTTTCTTATTTGGAATACCAATGAAGAGTATATTCCAAAAGAGATCAATACACAACAATCTATAATTTCACAAGTAGAAACCCAATCTTCTCTAATTTCGCAGGATAGTGGTTTAACTCAAATGGATGAAGATGATTGCCCTTTAGATCCAAACATGCATCAAATTTGCAAACAAAAAGTTGCAGCTGTAAGACGTATGGCTAATCATTTAGAACAAGAGCTTTCAGTGAACAACTTAAACTATGTAATACGAGTTGTTGACCATTTGAATAAATTATTTACTATGCTAAATGATATCGAAACATCACAGAATAAAAGAAGACGCAATCCAACATGGCAAGGGTCTACTCCCTGGACATTATTTTTGCAGTAATAAATATGTATATACATATGCAAAATTATTTTTCTATAAGAAAAAAAAAAAATTTAAGATAAATATAAAAAGTTTTAATTAAAACAAAAAAAAAAAAACAAAAAAATTCCTTATCCTAAATAGTATAAATTAGTTCATTAGAAATATAAATACTTTTTAAATAAATAATTGATCAAAAATTGTAGCATAAAAAAACTTTAACCTACGACGTATATAATTATTCAATTCGTTGATTCTATTTAAATAGTTTTGAAAGCAAGTTATATTAGTTAATTTGTTTGAAAGTTGGTTCTATTTAATACAATAAAATAATTTAAATCACCAAAGATTCTTTATTATAGTGCGATAACATGTCACTTGTATTACTTGTATTGCAAAGTTCTTTGTAAAATATACACAATTGAAAAAATTTAGTATCAGTTACACCAAATATGCAAACAGAAAATAGAAAGGTATAGTACAAATTCCAGTATGGATTAAAAAGATTGATTATCACGTGATCAGAAAATCTATCCTACATGCTGGATTTTTCTTGTAACCCCACCTCCACTTCTATTAAATTTCCAACAAGGAAGAGACACAGACCAAGAAAGTGAACAATTACAAGATAGTTTTGATAATTTTTTTCAATTACTTTCTCTACTCCAAAAAGAAGAAGAGAGCTCTAATTCTGATACTGTTCGTGACGAACCAGAAGTTGATAACCATAAACTTGATGAAGCACCTGTTGATAATAATCCTATTGCTAATAATGAAGCACTTGTTAATAATAATCCTATTGCTAATAATGAAGCACTAGAAGATATAGAAATACCAGAAAACATTGAAGCATCTTTTGATAACGAAGAACAAATAAACACTAAAGAAATAGATGCTGCTGCTCAAGCAATGACCAGGTTGGCTAAAGCTCTACAAAAAGAAGAAACTGGTAAAAAGAGCCTTGTCAAAATAGACCTCTTTATAGGAGATAGTACCCAAAACCAACTAAATTGGTTAGATAAATTTAAACATGCCAGACAAGCTAATCATTGAAAAGAAGCTCGACAACTCAAAGTAGCTAAAGCACATATAAAGGGAATTGCTACCGAATAGGTTTGTGAATTTACTGCTCTTCAGCTTACAAGATATAATGATTCAGCAAACCAAGCCACTAGTTTTAAAACTTTATTTACAAACAAGTTTTGTACTACTTGACAAAAAGCTATATGGCAACAACAGTTCTTTAACCTTAAACAAGGAAGTAATTTAGTTGATGCATATATTGCAAAGTTCAAGAATCTTAACTGGAAAGTCACAAATTTACCTTCAGCATTTATCTGCTAACATTTTATCCAAGGATTACAACCCGAGTATGCTATGTCTATACAAGCAGCTAGCCTAGGTGATATTGATGCTATTATAAATGCTACTAGAAATTGGAAAACAGGAAAACATATTACTGCTCTAGAAACAAATATCACAGAAGCAATTACTCGACTTACAGACCAAATTGCTCAATTAAGTATTAATCTTTCCCAGCAATAGCAAGAAACAAATTTGCTTGTTACTACTGTAGTAAAAAGAGACATTATATAGCTAACTATTATTAAAGAAAATCAAAAAAAAATAGAAACAATAGAAGAAATAGAAATAATAACCATAATCAAAGAAGCAATTATAACAATAGATCTAATGATTATAGAAGGTCTAGGAATAGAAGTCAATCACATGAAAGATATAGAAGTAGAAGCAGAGATAGAAACTATTCTCGAGATAGAAGCAGATCTAAAGATAGAAGCCAAGAAAGATGGAGACTCAGATCTTACCGCTTACCCTCACCCTACTACTGGAATATAAACATGGCAAAAATATCAAAACCTAACCCTAACCTTACACTATCTAACAACAATAATTAGAAAAGATTTCTAGACTCTATTCGTATAGCCCTTACTACTTATATTACTGAAATAAACTGAGAAAACACTAAACCAAACAACAATAATATTACCCCTGTCAAATGCTTTATAGATCTAAAAGATCATATGTACCCTGCTATTATTGATAGTAGAGCCTCTGTTAGCATGATTGCTCACAAAGTTGTAAAAGAACTGGGATTGAAAATAGATGAACCCTCTAGAAGTTTAATCGTAGCTACTACAGGAACCACCTCTCGACCTCTTAGTATTATTAAAAACCTATCTTTTAAAATTCAAGGTAGAACTATTTCTATTGACGTAGAAGTAGTACCTGCTACTTTATATTTATTACTTTTGAGAAATGATTGGTCTAGAAAAGTTGAAGCAAACTATAACTGGATAACTTGCCAATATACCATGTATTGGAAAGAAAAGAAACTCATAATTGACACTTTATATAAGCAAGAACAGTACAAAGAAAAGCAACCCACTTGTATCTTACCAGAAGACTTTAAACTATATGAGCAGGAATATTTAATCTCTCAAGAAGCCTATACTTTTACAACAACAAATGAAGGAGAGGAAGGTTGGATCACCTACACACCCTAGTATAGAAGCCCACCAAGATGTAAAAGTTGTGGTCTCTGAGATTATCAGTACAAAAACTGCCCCCAGAATAAATGCAAATATTGTCATGAAATAGGCTATATTGTTATTAACTGCCCAAATAAGCAGAACAAAAGAGCCAATTGTAAA